TGCTGGCCGCTCACGCTGGCTGCTGGCCACTCATGCTGGCTGCCGGCTACACACGGTAGCTTATGGCAGCCCACTGCAGCAAGGGACTGCAGCCTATGCCATCGCTGGCGACCCACCGCAGCCCAGGTCGAGCTGCCGCTCACCATTTTAGCTGCAGAGGGCAGTGTCACTGGCCCTCATGTGGGATCCGAACCGGGGCCCTCTGGCATCCCAAGCCAGTTCTTAACCAACGCACCACTTGGCTGGCCCGCAACATTTTTATTCTTACCAAAGACATGTCCTTAGGGTAGAATTTAAATGTCCTCTACTAGGTTTTTTGTTTGTTTGTTTGTTTGTTTGTTTGTTTGTTTGTTTGTTTTGGAGGTTTTTTGGTGTGTTTTTTTTTAATTGTTTCTTTTCAAATAGCTAAAAGTGTGATTTCACCCACCATGTGCATGGCATGGGGATGCAAAGAAGTAGAAGACACAGTTCCTGCTTTCAAGTTTCTTCTGGTCTAGTATGAGAGATGATTGAGATGTATAATATACATATAGATGCATACATACATACATACATACATACTCATGAATAATGAAAATAATGTATAGGAGGTAAAGAAAAAAGTAATACTGAGATACTATCCCAAGGCAGTATTTGATTTGTTACCAAACAAGTGGTTAAAACAGCAACTGCTTTGAATCCAGAGGAAGGTAAACTCATCAGAGGCACATTAGTCTTTTCAGGAGAAGCTGGGACTTGAATATCACTTTACACCAGTATTTCTGAAGCCTGGCTGCACTTCAGACCCATCACAGGAGCACCACAGCCCCACCTCGACCTGTTAAATCAAAATTTCTGCTGATAGGGCCAGGCATCAGTGTGTATTTTATTTGTAAAGTTCCCCGGAGTGATTCTACTGTGTTGGCCCCGTTGAAGACCTTTGTCTGAAATAGATCAGCCTAGGTTAGTGAGAAAGGAAAGGGAAGATGTCCTGATGAGGGTGGACAGCAAAGAAAGAAAAACAGGAGGGCAGATCACATGTTGCTTTTCCCCTTGTAACAAGAGCAGAGGGTTTGTGCATCCATTCATTTGACAAACCTTTGTGTATCAATCACCCCTTCTCTGCTTGTCAAAGATTCAAAATATGAGTAAGTTGATATCCTGTAGTTGTTTGCAATGTACTTGGGGAAATAGATAAACATGTAAACAGTAGGTGTTGTATAAGCATCATGAATCAAGTGTGCATAGAGGTGATGGAGGGCCCTATAGCAAAGGAAGGTCCTTAGGCAATTAACGAGGTGACAGCATCCAGAACGGATTGGCTGAGGCCTTGCTTTGGGAAACGCACCGTAACCAGGCACATCTTAATTCGGGACTGGAAAAGCTAGAGCGGGGGTGGTTCTCCTTGGGCAAATGACGAAAAAAACGACAAAATTTTCGTACTATTTCTCATCAAATCCTCACGAAGCCTGTTCCTGCGAACCACACATGGGATTCTATAAATCTGGACATGCCCTAGAAGGAGTAATGAAGTAAATTAATCCCAACTAAGCTTCACACTCCCTTGATGAAATAAATATTATGACTCCCTGATTTCAACAAATTGGAAAGAGGTGACTTTTTCATAGTGGAGGTTTATTTAAATAGACTTTATAACAATATTTTCATCTTCTACTTAGAAGCCACCCTGATGTTACAGAACACTTGAGGGAAGAGACGAATCACAGACGTAAATTATTGACAGGACCCATAATATCACTCAAGCTCCTGATCCTTACAGGACTCCTTAGGCTTTTCTCGAAGTCCCAGGCTGTTTTTGCATCTTAAAAGTGTCCAGTGTTTCCTTTCTGGTGACATAATTCTTCTTTCAGTGTCGATTTTATATTTTTAAAAACTCAAACACCATCACGGTGAAGACTTCCTGACAACCCAGCCTTACTCAGCCCCTCTTCCCAGCTGCACCTACCACTTGTCTCTAT